TTCGAAACTGCTGTTATAGTTATATTGTTGTACATTTTTCCTTCCAGAAGTTGTGATTCAACGTTTGGACTTGGGGCTAGTAATGAAGATGAATTGGGATGGTTTTCATCATCAGACGCAATTGGAGGATCTGGAGATGCTTTGAAGTCAGAATTCAAAGCTTCATGTCCTGCCTCTGGTGCAATGGCTAAAGACTCAGAAAACCATGAGCCTGTAGGATTAAATGATACCTGCTGTTCTTTGAATGATACTAGCTTTGAAGTGGCATCTGTTAGCTGTAAAAATAATTCCTGGTCGTCAGACAAAGATGAATCCGACACTTTTGGTGATATGTCTGGGACTCGTAGCTATGACAGCAAGGATAATTATAGGCCTAGAAAGCAGGTCAGTAATCTCAATGTATTTTGAAGCTGGTGATAACATTTTCATCTTAGCACTTCTTTCAGAAAAACTCAGTGATGAAACGTTTTGGTTTGAATTAACTGTTTTTTTTTTAATTGTGTGTAGGCTGTTGAGCTCAACAACGAAGTACAACAGAGGATCTCGGCCACCAACATCTCAACAACTGGTAGCACTGGAATGGTATATTTTGTACTTCTGTTTAAGGGAAAAAATTGCAGAGCATGTAATTTTTGCAGTCCAGAAATTTTTAAACTTATTTTAGTGTGGTCTTGCTGTTGGACTTCGTTTTAACAATTGTCAGTCACAATCATGCCTATTTGTTTGTAGCTGCAAGTTGGCAGTGTTAGACATTGTACATTTTATTGGTATTGAAAATGAACTTGGAAAGATTTAAAGTCCTGACTCCATGTAATAATCATCTTTGACAGAGCAATGTGCACAAAAAGCAGCAAAAGAATCAAAGCCGATATGACTCAAAGAGAAAAAATCCATATGGTGGTTCGTTTTACTATAATGGAAGCCTTCCAACTGAAGACAAAGAAGCTCCTTTTGAAGCCACATCTGACCAGAGTCTTCCATCAGGAGGCATTCAGCAGCAAAAACAAGCATCGGGACCTGAATCCTTTGGTTACTTGCAGAATGACATTCCCTACATGCAAGATTGCAGTCATATTTCAGATCACACTTCAATTTTTCCAACACTCTCTGCTGTTAAGTCTGATACTAATGGCTTTAGGAACATTTCTCCCAAGGAGTCCTCCTATTCATCAAATCAGGTGCTTTCTTCAGACAGCTCTCACAGTCCTGCATTTCAGTTGGCTACTGGTGTACATTCTGAAAAGAGGGAAATACCACATCACCAACAACCTCTCCAATCATCATTTAGTAGCAAAGCTGAAAGTATGGAGATGGGGGTTCAGGTCCCCTTGTGTGATCCAGTGTCTGTAGAGAAAAAAGTCCAGTACTTGGGAAAGAATTTTGAAAGTCACACAGATGGTGAAGGAGTTCCTGGAGAATTTGGTTCCTCAACTATGCAGGAGAGCTCTTCTGCGAGTTCTGGTTTAGATGAAATTTCACTGGAAGCCGCAAGTTTTCGCCAGCTTCAACTTGTTATGGAGCAGGTAAATGTCTTTTCAATTATGAAATGTATTACATTGGATGACTTAACCTGTCTACAAGTTCGAGTTGGTGGACATTATATGAATGTATCTCCTTGAGTCTTTTCGTTTGTCAGACAGAGAACCTTTTGAGTTGATATTGAAGGTTCATTGAAAGGTTGACTAAGTCTAAGGACTCAGAGGATGTGTTAGTGTTCTAAATCAAATGAAATATTGTCAGTCAATCTGGTTTTTTAGCTGTACATTCACATGTTGCAGGGTGTAAATCACTTTCTTACATAATCTACTAATTTACATTTGTTTGGAAATGTAAAGGAGTTCTGACTCCTTAATTGAGCAGCTTGAGCCCCCTTTTGCCGACATTTATGTCTATCATACCTATGGTCATGCTTGGGTCATATCTAACTGAAGCAATAGCTTACACTGTTTGATTTTTTTTTTTTTTTCTGAACTTCCAATTAGCTTGAGTTAGGAGCTTGCATTGTTCAGTTTTCATATACTTGTTTGCAAGGTTTTTGTCTGTTATCCATCTCGATTCACTGGCCGTGCCCTGTCCCACTACCATGTTTCATCAATACCCTGACCCAGATTTATCTAAACACCCATTGTGAAACCTGCACTGGAACCCTATTCAACTACCATCTTGTCATTTTGTCTCTCTACCTTGTTCTGCTGCCATGTCCCGTTCCTTCTTCACATTCCCTTTCCATTCATTTAACACACAATCCTGTTCCCTTCTGTCTCTCTAGTACCAACTTTGTACTGCTACCTGTCTTTATCTTGTTTACTACTACATATCAACACTTTGTTGCGACCTTGTCCCACTATTCATTCCCTTCTCACAACCCAGGCATGCCAATCCTTGGCCCGCCCCCACACAAAGAATAAAAGGAAAAAACCAGAATAGTAAATAAAGTCAGATATACTAGAGAATCTCACATGTAAAGTGTGGCAAAAATTCTTATTTCTACACTTATACAGATTCCAAATAGGCCCTCATAGCTGGTCATTCTAGACATTCGTAGTTTCCTATTTTTCTTGTCATATTGTACTTAATTACTCACAAGGTTGAATCTCCTTGGTCTAGTTGGATCTGAGGACAAAGCTATGTATACGAGATAGTCTATACCGCTTGGCCCAAAGTGCTGAACAACGCCATAACCAAGCAAATCTGAAGGGTAGCTACTCTGGAGATAATAGAGATGCCAGAGGAGTACCGCTAGCTGAAGGCACAAACAAGTATGTAATCTTTTGTTTTATTTTACCCATTGCATTAAGATATAATTACTTTGGTCTGTTTGACTACTAGTTTGTTTACTAGAGCAGAATGTGGCAATCGCCAATTTCTGTGAGAACTCAGCACTAAATCAGTAAAACCTCTTTTTTCTGCTACATAATTTCTATGTTTTCATCTTTCACATTTAAGATGCTTACTGTCTTTTGATAGTTTTCCAAGGTTGTGAATGGCATCTGTGCTTACTGTGGAATGCTTAATAGTCATAGACATGCAAAGCTACCTGTGTGCTTGCAGAAACTATGGTGCAGCTATCAAGACGTTATAGATATGTAACTTACCTCTAGATTTTCTGCCTTTTTTCTCCTTAGGTCTTGGGCAATGACTTTTTACTCTTTAGGGATTCATTGTGGGTTGACTGATTAAAATTTAGAGCGTCAGATAGCTAAGTTTAATTTGATGCTGTTGTATGTGTAAGTTCTATTATGAAGAATGCCAGACCAGTGATTGAATTCTCATCAACAATAAGATTTCTGTTGATGGATAACCTTGTTCTGGGAGAGAAGTAAAATACTTTTCCCTTTAGAAGTAGTTTCCTTGTCACAGCAGTATATGGCACCAAAAACCCATCTTATTAGATGCTTAACTTACTTGAAAAATGTGACTTTTGTTGGTTGGAAGAGGCATGTCACTTTTATTAACTTTCACACCTATAGATTCATTGTACAATTATTTGGTTCTGGGAGTATCTCATGTAAGCATGGCTGCTGTCCCAGCTGGGGACACCATAATCTCTGCACTCTTTTTGGTATCTCTCGATGTTCTCTTTTGCCAAAAAAGAAAACCATTACCTTCATCATTTTCTTCTTCTTCTTTTTTTGTTTCCTTCTTTTTTCCGATTTTGATTTGGGTGTCTCTTAAGAGTTTCTCTAAATGCTCTTTTGTTTTGTGTGGGGGGGGAGGGGGGTGTGGGGAAGGTAAATATGAGGTTCATTTGGACACTGAACTGGAATTTGGTATTGATTTCCCTTATTTGTATTGCTTTTCCATCTTCAGTTGGGGGGTCAGTCCAGTTCTTATTCTGTTTAACTACTCTAATTCAGGTGCACTGGATTTATGGATATGGAAACTGGCACAAATCCTATAGATCGGTCCATAGCTCACCTACTATTTCACAGGCCTTCAGAGTCGCCTATCATTACTGCCCAAGACTCTCTGTCTTTTAAGTCACCAACTCTGGTAAGCTCCATAACTGCTGGTGTACATTTCATCTTTTCCTCTTAGATTATCTATAATCATAGGCTTTTTGCTAGATGGAACCTGATCCTATTGAAGTCACAAAAAACGGATTCATGGTTCTGTCAGTAGTCCACCTGTGATGCCTGAGAAATCAGTTAATGATGAAGCAATGGCAGCTGAAACGGAGAAAAGTGTTGGGGATGGCTGACCCAAAAATGTAACAGAAATAACTGATACAGCATAGGAAGAAGGCCTAGGAATTGTATTTAACTACCTTGTGCGCTTGTATAGAAGTATTTTACAGAATTTAGCGAAGTGCGAAGTTGGTCTCCTATTTGGATACTGAACAAGGATATCCCCGCCTCACACAACCCCCCCCCTCCCCCCGGCGCGGCGGGTATCATATGTAATATTTCTACATTGTATTTAGCTTGTAACTATTATATTTCGTGCTGTTTGGCATCAAGTTTTCAATGGTGATTGCTTTGAAAGCAGAAGATTGTGCATAGGTGCCGTTAGTAGGAAGTTTAAGACATTTGCAAGCATATTATTTTCACCACTTGTATGCACAGTATGACGAGTGTTTAATTCGCTTGTAGTACGTGCAGATGTCAGGGATAGTCGTCTTCTGGAGATGTTCAGAATAGTTTGATTCAAGTGTTATCTTGATCATAATTACTGCTCTAGTTATTGTTCAAGTAAGAAAAACATGTTCCCGTTTGACCGCAAGCCTGAACACAAAGACTAGGCGAGTGGGATGGGAATGAAAGACACGAATAGCCCCAGCCCGAAACCGCACGGGGGGAGGTGTGAAAGGAAAACGTTCTGGTTCCTAATACTGCTATATTGAGTTAGGGAAGACGGTGTGAAAACCAAACATATTCATTCTTGATCCTGCAACACAGAGTCAAGGATGCCCCTTGATATGGATCATGCATCTACGAGGGTTCGTGAAATTTGCAGCTGGACTTGTCTTCTTGGAATCGCTAAGGTTAGTACAGTAGCTAGGGAAGAAGTTAAAGATTTTTCTTACTGTGAGGGTCAATAACACTGAAGAACCAATTCGCCAATAGCAACTTAGGCTATCCAGGGGGATTCGCCAATGAGCTAAACATGGTTGTCAAAAGCTCAATAAAACCCCATCAGAAAACGAAAGAAAAAAATTCATAATCCTAAACTAAAGCATATGCTGCAAATCCTAAACTAAAGCATATACTGCATAAATTTTCACTAGTAACTACGTCAAGCTCTACATTATTGTTTTCGATGCTATTTGTATGCATTGATACTCAACATTTTACCTTTTAGTTCACATGTTATCTCCCCCCACAATTACCATCATGGTCGGGAACAGTTGCATCAGGCATGAGAAAGGAAAAGAGATTGCTTCAAGATACAGTTTCAGATATTTGTCCTTGGTGCCCGCCACATTTAGACTTGAAAACAATGCGTGCTTTACAAATTTTTTTCACCTCATCCATAATCCAACCGCAACAAAAGCAATGGTCCATAGATAACATAGATCATGACACGGGCCTGGCCACAGGGTTACCAAGTTTGAAAAGCTAATCAAACTGCTGTCTAAGCTGCATTTCTGTCTCACTTTTCCATGATGCATGCGATGACTGACCCTTCATCCTCTTAAGCTTCTCCTTGTCTTTGATGGTAGATCCCTTCTTCTTCATGGATTCATCGCCACAAACTGGACAGACCATTCCTTTGGCACCAGAGTACGTTTTCACCATTCCACAGGTTAAGCACATCCTGTGAGCAAAACAAAATTTAGTTTCAAAAAGCTCATACATTTACAGAATGAACACACGAAAATACTCAGATTTCAAAGCAAATTTTTACATTTGAAATGGTAATTTAAAGACCAGGTTATAAAGTTTAAACTAGACATTATTACATAGATGGTATCACAATAAGCAAAGCAGTCATAACTGCTAGATGAAGACATCAAGTTTGGGCTACCATTTCTTCTAGAATATTTAATTACCATAGCTGAAATGATACAAGTTCTCTATTCTAGTTTTATGCAGCCACGGATATAGGTACACAACTGGTTTCATCTGTTCAATCTCTTATTTACCACTTGGAAGCTGGTACAGCCAACTCCTTTAGCCTAAACGCCTCTACAATCTAAATAAATGGTTGAAATCCAAGGAGAATGGGATATATGTATTTCCAGTTTCAAAATCTTAAGTCAACTACTACTCTCTTCCTCAATTCAACATTCTAATATATCACTCTACTACTTGGTGCAAATCCAGATGTAAACCAACCTTTGGTTAACCTTATCCTAGGAATCTTTCGATTAGCTATTTCTTAGTGAAAGGAGGCAAGAATACAAGAATGGCTGTGTGTGTGGAAAGCAGAAGTTTGCATCCTATTATGGTCATACCATGTAGAAGATGGATCCAACAAACAACACTCTGAGAGGGCAATAGACACAGAGCAACCATCTCACAATTGTTTTCTCCAGCAAGTACTCAAATCTGCAGATTAATCTCGAAAAAGAAAACTATAACATCTAAAGCTGTTTACAAGAAGATCACCATTTTAAAGTGCTGAAAATAAAGCATTTATCACATGTAGGAAAACTCAAGAAGCTGTTTGTTCTTATTAAATGGAGGAACGAAACAGGAATTCTGACTCTAAAATGCTAACTAGAAAATCACTAAATTAAAGGACTGAGGACCAACCATCACAGTACCCAGACGTACAAGTCAAAACAAACTCACATATGCTAAATGTACGCTTCAATCTCTGTCAAGATTTCCCTTTTTAACCTAGTTTTCATTGTATAAGAAAAATGAACAATTTCTTTCCCTAAGTCTCCAACATGTCACAATTAATTATCACATATTCGTTGAACATCTTTATTTCTTGCAAACTGAGGACTTTCAAAGATCAAAGTACATATTTTATTTGTGTTTGTGGAACCTTATTCTATTTCCCTTTTATATAGTTTTCTCTATTCTTTTCTGGGTCGGAATTGGGATTAGTGAGAATACAGGAAGAGGATGCACAAACTTATCCTTGTTTGGATCAAGTTGTAGACAGAATACCATACTATACCTCATAAGCTCTGCAGCATTCTCATTCAGATTGCTTGCAAAAGTAGTACGCTTTGCATCTTCTGCAGAGTGAGAGGGGGATGTTCTTGGGATGTTGCCCTCAAAATCGCTCCTCACTCTCTCATGGATTCCAACTAACTGAGCTTTAGCCTCCACTACTGCACCTATAATTCCATATTATAGAACTTTTAATTAAAAAAAAAGGAAGGAAATTAAAATCATGGATTGAGCCACGAAAATATCCGATTAGTACTATGCTTTCATGGACAGCGGTATATATATTTACTGTGTCTCTTCCTAGGTACTCGAAGGTTTGAACGCATGCTAGTTAGTCATGAACCCTTTTTGTTCCTTTACCAACATAAACAATAAGCCATTAAATCCATTGAAGAACTCAATAGACAAATCCCATTTACTCGCAACAATAAGTAACAAAATTAGAAAAGATGAAACCGTGATAAAAGTAAAGGACTAGCATTTTGAGTAGTAGATATTTACCGACAGGTAAATCACTTTTATCTCTGCGATTTCTCCGGCGACAGTGGCGCCGCTTCTGCCCATCGTCATCTTTTGCCGCTTCCTCAACGGAATTGTTCAAAAATTCCGGAGGCCCTGACACCTCCAATAGGGGGAAAAAAGACAAAGGGAAAAACCTCTCCGGTCAGCTGATATTCTTCACAGCAAGGGGGAGAATTCAAGTATTCAAGATGGGGGTTATAATTAGTACTTACTTCGGAGAAAGCGTCGAAAGCGGAAGGAAGGAAAGAGGAAGAGGAGGGATTGGGGTCGAACAAGGGTTTGTATCGGTTGTCCGAGACTTGGTCGTTTCTACGTTTGCCGCCGTCGTCAGAGTCATAATAATCATATTCTTCAGCTTTTTCTTCTTCTTCTTCTTCTTCTTCAGATGAGTAGCCCTGCAGGAGAGACAAGCTCATCGTTTCTTAATTAAATTATTTTTGGTCGTCCGGTCGCAGCTAAGCTAAATAATCAGCACAAGTATTGCTGCTGCTCAAAAGACGCCGTTTTCAACTGCTTACAGACCCATGCATGGATCTATTGCTTTCTCCTAATCAGCTAAAATAATCAACCGACAACAATCTACTCAGTCCTTTGCCCTATAGCCCCCTTAGTAGTACTATAGTTCATCGATGATCCATCTAGAGAAGGAAATCGGCTAAGGTTTGCTTTGAATCGGAGCACATATGATTAGAGTCTTTTTATGTTTTGGAAATACCTCAATTCCCTTTAACTTGGTCACAATGCCCAAAGGAGTTGTTTATACCCGTTTCATTCGGTGAATGTGATTAATTGAATTGTTAATATTTGGATTAGCAGTTTTTGGAGGTAATTTTTAAAACTTTTTATTATAGCCGTGCAGGTCAAAATACTTTTACTATAAATGAAGTTGTTTTTTAAAATCGTTTTTAGTGTTTTTGAAATTGTTTTTGTTTAGGTATTATTGTAGCATTGTACATAAAAAAAACTTAGTTTTTAAAAAATGATCAATCCAAACAGAGTTGAAGTGTTTTCTACGTTAGGTGATACATTAATAATTTTCACTTATTATTTGAATAAGTTTTATGTAAATCATTAAGAATCACTTAATTAATTAATTGAGATATTTCATACTTTACGATCAAGTATACTTGAACATATTAAAATCTGAATCCGTTAAAATCTAAATTGAATTATTAAATCGAGTCGTGTACTGTGTATTCCTATGAAATCTAGGTCATAATCTCTAAGCGAACAAAAGGTGTGTGTTTTCTTCAGTATGGGTATCTCTTCCCTAAAAAAAAAGAAACAAGTCGGGAGAGGAACAGAAAAGGGATTTTCTCATGTTTATTTAATGCCATTTGCTTGTTTGATTAGGAGATTGATCATCATTCTAGTGGAGTGTTTTCACAGCAATGTTTCACGAGATTATCAAAATATAATAGGTTGAGTAATCAATTACAGTGCAAAACTTGGTGTGGAATGATCCCAATTTAGTGGGTTATATGCACGGAGCAACTGAAAAACTGACGGGGATAGAATCACCACTGGACCGGGTCTACGAGTAGCATTTTGGTGGGAGGCAAGGGTTCCCCACCAAAACCTTAAGGGCTTGGTGGTGGCCACCAGGCCAAGAGCTGGTGGTTTACTAGGCAGTTTATAGAATTGTTGTAATTCACTTAATGCGTGTGTGCGACATGTTATAGTCTCCAAATAGGTAAGCCTCATTTTTTCCTAAATTGGCTAGTACATGCATTCGACCTGTTAAAAGCCACTATAAGTATTAAATTGGGGAATGCGAGATAAAGATCATTGACTAATAGACTATCCCGTAATTTTCATTACTACTAGTTATATACTGAATATTAGGGGTGTACACGAGCCGAATTGAGTTCGAACATTGTTGAACAATGTTGGCATCCTACTCGACTCGAGCTTGAGCTCGATTGAGTTGGAAAAATGGAGGATCGAACTTGACTTGAAGAAAATGTTTAAAAATTCGAACTCGACTTGATGTGGTTCAAACAATTATGTTATTAGTTTTTTGCCATTAAAGAATTTAATTAAGTATGCAAACCAGCTTGTAAATTAACTGAAACATAAACCCTTAATGGTAAATTTATAATTAAAAATATATTATTTAAATTAAAAAATACTCGACAAGTAGCTCGTTTAACTTGAGTACCATATATTCAGACTCGAAACTCGGCTTACATTCTCATTCAAACTTGACCGAGTTCGAGTCAAGTAGTTAACTAACTCGCGAGCAGCTCAGCTCACAATCAGTCGGATGAGCACTAACAATTGACACTATCGACGAAGATTCCCTAGGCATTGACTTCCGCTCAGTTGCTCAGTTTGGGGTTGCAACTCAATTGAACAGTTTGACTAGAGCTCACAAGTTGTTCAATCAGGTGCTTGACTCAAACTCAGTCAAAGTCGAGCTCGAGCTACACGATTAAGGGTGCGAATCAAGTTCGAATGGGATATTACGTACTTGAAAGTTCGTGGAGCTCTATTAAGTACTCGCTATAATATTTAATTAATATTTTAAGAATAGCTAAATTATTCCTTCAACTAAAAATTCTTTGACGAACTCGAGTATAAGCTTGATATCGAGTTCGCATACCGACTTAATCTCTAACAAGTTGAGCTCAACCCTGGAATATATTACTTTGAGTCGAGTTTGAGATCAATATAACTAACTCGCTCGAGCTTGAGCAGTGTATTTGAACATCGAACTTGAGTGGGAGGATATTGAAGCTCGACTTGGGTCAATATCAGCCTAACTCAGTTCCTCGCTCAAAATCAAACAAATAACGAAAATTAAACAAACAGTAAGGACAGAATAAGAAAGAAAAAAAATACAATAAAAGAAAAATATGTACATAAAGAAACAAATGAAACCAAACCAACACCCACCAAATCAAGAATCAAACCCAGCTGCACAAAAAACCAAAAGCTCTCTCCTTCTGCTTCTCGCCTCTCTGTTTTCTTTCGACCAAGTCGAGCAATTATTTGCTCTCCGGCGCCGGCAGCTCCCCGGAGCTAGCAGCCGCCACCGACCCACCTCGGGTCAGAGTTATACTTTCTTGATTGTGTCTCGAACGGAGACGGAGAGGAGAAAAAGAATTCTGGGAATTCTTTTGCTTCTCCTATATCATATTTGTAAAATAGCAATTGGTGGGCTGGTAAAGAGGGAATAGAGATTAGATAATTAGGGATGAATAAATTATTGAATAAAGTACGGAACTTGGATGCTTACCCGAAGATCAATGAGGATTTTTTCAGCCGTACGCTCTCCGGTGGTGTTATCACTCTTGTTTCCTCCATCGTTATGCTCTTGCTCTTCATCTCCGAGCTCAGTACGTCTCCTCTTGCACCCCCTCCCCCCACTCTTCTCCGCTTTCAATTATTCTTTATTTCTGGAGAGAAGAAAATTTGGCTTCTTTTTTTTTTTTTTAATAATAATACTGCTTGGTTCATGTGCATTTCTTACCTTGTTCCCTGTGTAATTCAGCAATTCTGTATGAGTTCATTGCTATTCAAGTGGACAATTGTCGCTTTACTTGAGTTTGACATGATATTGGATGATTTTGTGATCGGTTGTCAACGTGGATACCTGCTTCGTATGAGAAGCAACTAGATTTCTAAATTGTTGTAAGAAAAGCTGTAATCTCATCTCAATAGGTCCAATTTTCAAGCTATTTTCCTAGTTCACGTTAAGAATTTCAAATTCTTGTGGATTGCGTACTGCCTATTTCAGGCTGCCTTCAGGTTCTTGAAGAATTATGGTCATTCACTTGAACGGTGTTATAACGAGTATGGATTTCTGGTTTCTGGCTAGGTTGGTTTGCCTCATTTGCTTAATGTAGAATCATCTTCTTCTTAGACAAACAAACAAACAAACAAAAAGATTTTGTTTATTTCTTAAATTAGTACTCCCATATCAAAAGAAGTAAAGACATTTAAGAGTCCCCAAGTTAGCAACAAGGTGGAGGGTCTTGTAGGAAAGTTAAAATTTTCAAATCACCGCCAAGTGGGAACTGATATTCTCCTATATATGGTGGTAGAACTGAGCAAGTTTTTCTGACAATCTAATTGGGAACTATGTGCAAGATACTGATAGAGAGATTCACCTATGTCTAATAGTAGAATTGAGCATTTTTTCTGACTAAATAAGAATGATGTGCAAGATATGGAAGGCGAAGAAGGTGGTCTCTCTGTGATGAAAACTCTCAGGCTGTCAAATGATGGGCTACTAAACTTCTCCTAAGAGCTTTTCAAATAGGATTCTAATACTGGTAACTTGTCTGCCAGATATACCATATGCTAAAGATTTTGGGCAGACAGGTTGTCCTTTTGATTTTACAAGTAGTTTTTGCAATTCCCTATGCGTCCAAACTACTTTAGTGGACTGACAAAAAGAAAAAAAGAAAAACTTTAGTAGAGCTTGCATAATATTTAACGCAATTTGGATCATGCGTTTGTGGTATCCTTTCCTTTGACTCCTTTAATTTGCATTTCTTAGTTGTGAATCTTATTGATCATTTGTGGCTTCTTACCAATTGCAGGGCTATATCTCCATACTGTTACAGAAACCAAGCTTGTAGTGGACACTTCAAGGGGAGGAAAACTACATATCAATGTAAAGAATATTACTCTATGTGTAAAATGATGCAAGTGTCCTATTATACTCTTCATGTTCATTTCTTGCTCAATCCCTCGTCTTCAACTTGTATAATCATTTGCTTTATGGAAATCATCATGGTCTTACTAGTTACCATTGTGTAATGATTTCAGGATGCTTTGAACTTAATTTAATTAACTTGATACTTTCTTATGGAGATATTTTCATTGTTTTGAGTGATAATCAGGACATTGCATGGACCTGGTTTGCTGTTAATTTCTTCATAGAAATACTAATTGGTGCTTTTTTTTTTTGTGACAGTTTGATGTCACTTTTCCTGCCATTCGGTGTTCATTACTTAGTCTTGATGCCATGGATATCAGCGGGGAGGAACATCTGGACATAGTATGTAATGCTTGCTATACTGATGTGAATTTTTTTGGCACTAGTTGTAGCATGAAGCTATCATGATTCAAATGGTTTATCTCCTACTTGGGCAAATTGTTTGTCCTCTTTGTTGTTGCCTCTCTTTCCTGAATACTATAAGACTTTGACCTGCTTGATCAGTTAAAGATGCCTTCCTGACCTTGCAGAGACATGACATATTCAAGAAGAGAATCGATTCTTATGGTAATGTGATTGAAGTCAGACAGGATAAAATTGGTGCTCCTAAGGTAAGTTATTACAATCCTTTTGCCCGAGAAATCTTGCTTTGAAGCATCTTGTTTTGTGTATAAGTTGGTAATGCATGTTTTATCAACTACCTATTGTCTGTAAGTCTTCACTAGGAATGTGTAGTTCCAAGCCTTTATCAGTTGAGTGAGTTGAAACTGGCGGAAAAAAGCACAACTATGTCTGCAAATCTGATATAATTGCCAACAATATATTGAATCTTGCTCTGACTATTCAAGCATTAACATCACCAATACTGCTGGATTCAATAGTCTAGTATGGCCTTGAATGTTTCCATATGGTGACAAGCAGGACGTTTGCCTATGAGATGCTTTAGAAAAATTCTTATATTTAAATGAACACATATAGATGCCTGATGTGTTTTGCACTTCTGTCTTTGAACTGTATTTTAAGTTGTCTTTAGTAATTGTCTCATGTTAAATTAAGACATTCATTTTCAGAAAGAGGGAGTATCTTTTGTGATAAATTGCATGTTCTTTGTGTTGAGAGCTGTTACTCTTTTGAGTAATTGGCTGCCTTCTATTCATTATGTTGTTTCTCCAATTAACCTGAATCCAGGTTGAGAAGCCTTTACAAAGACATGGTGGCCGGCTAGAGCACAATGAGACCTATTGCGGTTCATGTTATGGAGCAGAACTGGTATGTCTACTTGTTTTGTTCTGATTGGGTGTAATTTTTCAATATTGAGATGAGAGTCATCTGGGGAGATACATGTGTAACTTTAGGATGGATAGATAGATATCAGAGAGAGAGAAAGATCAGTGATTTTAGTGCTACAGTTAAGGAATTGATTGAAATAATGATAATGTAGTTGTGGTTTATGGGATCAAAGGACAAATTTGCAGTTGAATTTGGACAAAATGACAAGTAAAGTGAAATCATATTTAGCATGAAAGCATTGACTTAAAAATAAAAGTCAAAGGTGTTAAGAAATACATGAACGTGCATGTCCAAGCATTGGGGCAGATGGAGCTGTTCAATTGAGTGGCCACTGATGTGCAGAATGTTATGTGGGCTTTCAGCTTCGTTACTTTTTATTTTTATTTTTATGTATTTATTTATTTTTTTCTTTTTTGCAGTCAGATGATGATTGTTGTAATTCATGTGAAGAAGTTCGTGAGGCTTACCGTAAAAAAGGTTGGGGGTTGACAAATGTGGATTTGATCGACCAGGTTGGAATGAAAATGCGTGTTATACTTTCCGAATGATCTTAATTATTGGTAGCTAATGGCTTCTAAGCGTGAGAAAATGAGATGGCTTGACATCATTCTCCAGTTTGAAACAGTAGAAGTGCTTCTATAAGACATCTGTGCTTTAGTTAGTGACTTGATTCACTTGTGTTACTATATCATGGATATTTATCATGGGAAAAGACAGAAATTTAAGAGGAAAAGTTTCAAGGAAATGAAAGATGTTATATACCTTAATTGTACTTAATATGGATTGCCATGTGCTGGGGACAAATTTTATATTGTCATATCGATTATCAATGCATACACTAATTTGTTGCGGCCTAGAACATAAAATGTGGATTAGATATGTTAATGCATAATATTTGAAATATGAATTTTACATAGAGACAAAAAAGCAAGAGATGATGGTATCATAATAAAATGAGAACTACAGTGCTTGTGAATTGGAAATGGGAAACTTAAGTAGGATACTGCTTTCCCAGTCTTGAAGTTAAAGGAGAATCTGCTTTTAAAATGTGACCATAAATTCACTTATTTTTGTATTGATATGCTTGAACTGAACCTTCTTTTATGAATTTTTTCAATAGGTCCGTTAGGGGAGAGGTACACAGAATCATTTTCAATAACAGTTATCTAGAGTTGAATGAACATTGTTACCCCCTGCATATGAAGATGCGTTTGGGCGGGCATACAGCTGAGGTTGTAATCAAGAGTTCAATAAGCACTTGCACACCACTTTGCGATATTTTTGACACTCAAGTAATGTTAATTTCACATACTATAAATGTGGTCCTTCTAGACTGCACATTGCAGGCCAATTAGAAAGAAAAATGAGCAATTGATGATTTTGCAAAAAGACTTGAAACTCATAAATATGAAATTGCCAAAAATGAAGGGTAATGCGTAGATTTTGCATTCAGTATTCAAGCGGGTTATACAGTTTGCATGGGCTTTTCTTCTGTTCCTACATACGTGTTATCATCTTAAGTCTCAGTTTTTGGTGTGATATGTTGCTGATGCCAGTGCAGAAGAGAAGGTTTTATTCAACAGATTAAAGATGAAGAAGGTGAAGGATGCAATATTCATGGATCTTTGGAGGTTAATAGAGTGGCTGGAAATTTTCATTTTACCCTTGGTAAAAGCTTTCATCAGTCAAATGTTCATGTGCATGATTTGCTGGCTTTATCTACAGAGAGTTATAATGTAAGATCTGATTTTTCTTCCCAGGATGTTGTTATAAAACTTAATATTTACTGTGATTATTTTTATTATTGAGTTGAAAACTACAACCTTTCTGTTTAGTTTGTCTTGAATTCTAAGTATTTGGTCCTCATAACTCTGATTCTTTGCTGGCAATGCAGATAAGCCACAAAATTAATAAGCTAGCCTTTGGAGATTCTATTCCTGGAGTCGTAAACCCACTAGATGGGTAATTTTCTTTGGCACTTCATAATTGCCTTTAAATGTCTATATGTTATTTATTTTTTTTTTGAATTGAGAAGTTGTCTTCCTGATGCTTTTCGAGATTATGATAGTTCTCAGTTCTTTTTGGAATAGGTTTCAGTTATGAAATCAAGAAGAAGCTTATGTCCTTGTTATGTGGGTTGCATCTGTGCATATTCCTACTTGAAAATAAGTCCTACTAACAACGTTTACTTTTCATGCACAAATCGTTTTATTTTTCGTGAAGCTATTTGTATGGAGTGCTTTTGAGCAGTGAAATTAGCTCTCAGTATATCTTCAACCCAGCCTTCCCCAGATAAGAGAAAGGGTTGACTGTTAAATCTTATGAGTTCTTTCACTGGAATATTTATTTTCTGCTTTATCTGTTTGCAACTCAGAGTGCACTGGGAGCATGAAACACCAAATGGAATGCATCAGTATTTTATTAAGGTAATATTTCTTATTAATTCTTTGCTTTCTCTCCATCTATATGACTCAGCTTTTCTTATTCTGTATCAATCCTTTAAAAATCTTAAGCATTAAAAATTAAGAACAAGATACACAAATTTAAGATAAAATGAAAATCTGGCTTCAGCAATCATACATCATTTGCCTTTTTGGGGTAGTGGAAAAGATTTTCATATGAACCATTAATGAGTTCTATGGGTGTTTTACTGAATATATTTGCAGATCAAGAATTATATGAGCATTACTAAGTTTCAAGATATTGACACTGAAGTTGTGGTTCATATGAGCCATTTTGAGTTTTAGAATTGAATTTAGTGGCTGTTGAATTGACAATGTTTAGTTAACATCTCTGATGACATTTGCAGGTGGTTCCCACTATATATACTGATATTAGAGGCCGTAGTATTGAGTCAAATCAGGTATGCTTAAACATATTGGACATGATATCTTGTTTCGTTGCACTAATTTTTTATCCATGTCATAATTAAGGCCCCTTCTGTTGGTGCAGTTCTCGGTGACAGAGCATTTTAAGAGCTCAGAAGCGGGTCATTCTCGTACACTTCCTGGGGTTTTCTTCTTTTATGACCTTTCTCCTATTAAGGTTAGTTCGGTTTTTCCATTACTGTGGTGCAGGAAGTCTCATTCAATTAATCCGAACTAGTACAGTTTCTTTTAATAACAAAAAACTGTCTATTCAAATATTCTAAAAACTATTAGACTGAAGGCATCTGTTTTGATGATGTGGATTAGAGATTTATGTTAACAACCGTAGTGCGGATAAGGAATCACAGGAAAAATGGGAAGGAGAGAGAGAGAGATTGATCAGAAAGCAGAAAGTATTTTTGGAACTAAGCTGAAAAGTGGTATTTTCTGATATTTGTTTTTACAGGTGACATACAAGGAGGATCATGCATCTTTCTTACACTTCATGACCCATATTTGTGCAATTGTTGGAGGTAATACGATGGTTCAATTTATTTCCGGTCTCATTCTCATCTTTTCTCATCCATAGTGCTTAATTGTCTCATGGATACTGTTCTGATATGTGTGTGTGTGTGTGTGAGAGAGAGAGAGAGAGAGAAGGGGAGTGGGAGAGGAATTACCACCATATGAAGCACAAAGATCATTATTGGAAGTGTTGTCTCACCACAATAAGTTCACCAGCACGATTCGAACATATAGCAAAATTTAATTTCTCGCTGACACATGTTAATGGCCATGGAAATGTTGTAGTGTTCTTTGCATAACAAAAAGAATTGTCCTTTAATACTTAGACATTTAACCCGAACAACATCTTAAAACTAAGAGAAATAGTTAAAAAGACGTTGCTGAGATGAGTTGTGACCTTCATGGTTTATTATGTTGTGAATTTGATAAGTCTCTCATTTAGCCTTTCAGCATATAAATTTATGACTTTGGAACCAGTTTTAAGCCCATTGTCTAACATGTAGTCATTTTGTTTCATCTTTGGCTCCATGCATGTGGCTTCTTTTTAATACACTTTGAAATCCATTTTCTTTTTCAGGTATCTTCACAATTGCTGGAATAGTAGATGCATTGATTTACCATGGTCAAAAGGCATTGAAGAAAAAGATGGAAATCGGAAAATTCAGCTAATGTGGTTTCATTGTGCGATACTGCTTCATTTTCATTTGATAGGTTTGACTAAGCTATGCGTTCAAATGTGAAGCAGTTGGGCGAATTTTTGCCCCTTGACGAGTCTCTTTAGTGCTGAACTTTTCTGTTCTATCTGATGACAGTCACAGGTGAAAACCTAAGCACCAAGCAAGCCAATACTACGTTGATATGATATCCATCTTCTTTTTTGTTGGCTCAATTTAGTGAGTTCTGATTGATTCTTGGATTGACTCGTGATGTTTAGTGTGCAGTAAGATTCCAAGTTTTCATGTCTACAAGGTTGCTGGATGGCCTCTGTCATTTGAGAACTGGGGGACTGTTTTAGACTGAATGTACTTTCATAGACAATCCCTGTCTGATGGCTAAAGTTGCATTTTGTTCTGATTCATTTATCAAAAGAAAGGAAGGAAATTAGCCCTTTAGTTTTAGTATATAAATTTCAGTTTAATATTCTGCAGGGTTTTTTCATAGAGAGAGTCGAGCATGTGCAGGTTTGTCAATACATTGCATGATTGCAGCTAGCAAACTCGGTACTTAAGGTCGTTTGATATCATGTGTCTTGCGTATAGCTGATTGTACGGTCACGAGCCTGCATAAGTAGTCATGGTTGCTTGGCTACTAATGTCAGGCCAGCCATCGTACCCCGAAAAAAAAAAGGAGGTCTGATAAGTGTAAGAATACCGAAGTTTGTTAAACATCCTCCTCCTTAGGAAAGCGTCTGAAGGAGCGAGTAATAGGCATTTCAATACGTGGTTTGCACTTGACAAGGTAGAGAGAGTTTCTTTTTTCATTAGCTTCTTCTAGAACAAGGTGAAATGAAAAGCCACTTCAATAGGCAAAAAGGGAGATTGACAAATGATGCTTCAAGGAAAACTCTGAACATAACCCGCAAAAAAGGACTGCAAAACTGAATATCCTCACCATCCCAGACAACAAGGGGAGCAAAGAAACAAATCTCGATTCCAACGTGATGTTTACTTTGTTCTTGCAGCATCAGTCTCAGGCTGTGCGTGACTGACTGAAACAGCGGAGAGCTTTAGCTTGATAGCCTCGAGCTCTGGATTCAGTCTCTCTTCCTTTGTCAGCCACAATGATAACAAATGGTTAATCAAGTCACTGGCAGAACTAAAAGCAGAAATACTCTTACGCAGCCTTATTTTCTCAAACTTGGTTATAAAATGAAAATTTGCATCATTGGGATCTTTGACATATTTTTCCAAGATATCCACAATAGCCTTGAACCAAATTGGGCGGGCAACCTTAAGAAATTCATGCACCGACGACATCGGAAGGCTCACGCTCCCCAGATCAGACTCATGCTGTCCATCTCTCCCATGGTAATCTGATCCTCCAAGCTTCACAAGACCATATGCATCAGCAAGGTCGCTGTAAACTGTTTTATCAAGAAAAGGTGATTCAAGCTATCATTACAAACCGCACACGCCCCAAAAGATGATTGAAGAGAATACATTGTATTCTTATACTCGAGATGAAAATTTTCTTTTGAGGAATTACAAATGTGCACAATGAGTTTGGAAATCCAATAGATGAAACAGAAAGTAAAATAAGGCAACACAGTATGAATGATGTACCTGCCAGTTTCCCATCACTTCTGTAAGTTTCTATTCCATGCAAGCCTGCTTCTGTTAGCCTTCTAATCACAGCCACTGGGTTTTTTAGTGCCCAGGGATGTGCCAGAACTGCAACACCTCCTGTTTTACATATCAGTTCAACTGCTTCCTCTGCATTTGGTTCACTTCCCCTGAACAAGACATTCTAATTAATCTATAGACATCATATCAACCAACTTTAGGGACACAGAAAAATTAACTATATCACACTAATTACGTAGAATAAGCAGGTCCACCATCGTAAAGATATCTTGAAAAGGCCTGTTTTAGGTTCTCTACATGGCCTGCTTCAACCAAAGCACGAGCAACATGCAGCCTACCAGGAGCAACCCCTGTGCCTGCAATCTTGGTTATGTGCTCCCACTTGAGAGGCAGCTTCAATTTGTTTAATTTTGAAACCATGCTCTTTGCACGAAGGAAACGTCCATTCCTTATACCAAGTAGCAGCTTCTCTAATTCCTCTATCCTTGTTGGTCCACACACACTATAGTATGCGAGAATATGAACTGGTTCTTCTGATCCTGTCTCTCCTCTGTATATTTCATGTTGAATGTCAGAAAGGAAATGAAACTTGCAAATGAAAAATAAATAAATCAGCAATCCATTAACAATCAATGAGACTGTGGCGCAAGACAGCCACTAAAAGTTAATAGAAGAACAACCTGACCAGCTAAAACGTGTTTTAGCTACTGTTACTTAATGCTGGACATAATTAAGCCAAAATGCTGACTTTACCTTGGATAGAAAACTGTGCTAACTTCAACTCCTGGAATAATCTTGATCCCAAATCTGAAAGCTGCTTCCTGGGCTTCAGGTATACCAGACAGTGTATCATGATCTGTCAAAGCAAGAACTTTCACCTGTTCAGGATATACATAATAATAAGTTGTAGTACTCTAACCACATAATACTCATTAAAAAAGCATAGACTAGCAGCATATGTCGTAGCTAATAAATATTAGAAGAACAACAATGGAGTGAAGATCTTCTAAAGGATTGAATTATAAATTCATGGCATATAAGTCCATCAAGGTAAATAATTCATTATCATAAGCGATGTTGAGTTGCAAGCATTGGAAAAAAATGATTCTAGAAGAATGAGCACAGGGCAAGGTTTCCAAACAGACATCTCTAGTGGACGATGATTGTGGTCCAAATGTACTTAACCATTGTAATTTCACAAAATCCGAGCCACGCAGTACCCTTCTCAGAGTTTTTGAATACACTTTCCCATCAGATTCCAAAATCAGAAACTAGTTATCAAAGTAACCTCTCCCTGTTTTCTCTCCAATTGAAATTCCCTTGCGAATCACTTACATACACTAAAAAAGACCAAACAAAAGAGAAGCAGTCCTTTTTTTTTTTTTTCTAATAAATTAGGTAAAGGCTTCAACTTTTTATAGAGCAAAACATGATCCTCTGAGCTCAATCATACGCTAAAAACAATTCCAATATCAGATTCTTCAAAACACAGTCCAGATAATAAAAATAGAACAAGTCCCAAAAGGAAATGGCCTTTCACAAATTCCCAGATTTAACACATAAGAATTACTAGTACAGACAAAGATCGAATTAGGAGAACTCTCACCCCATTTTGATGGGCTCTTTCAACAAGCTTGGTCGGTGATAAGAACCCATCACTGTGAATCGAATGACAGTGAAAGTCAAAGACCAGCCTCTCCTTTGGATGATTCCAGTGCACCACCCCAAAGTCATCAATAATTTCAGCGGCAGATGATGAATTCGCAGAATTGTCCAAGAAGACCCATTCACTTACGGATTTATATGCTACAGTTTGTTCAAGACTCAATTTTCTCTTGCTACCACCTCTCTTCTTCTTCTTTTTGTTTTTTATGTTGCCATTATTAGAGCAATTGGTACCATATGGTTTCTTTGGGCTATCTTTTTCACCCAACATTGGAAGTTTTTTTTTTTTTTTTCAGAAGAAATCTGTTACTACAAGAATGAAGGAAAGGCTAGGCACGCAAGGGATCTTTTTCTTGACGTGGGGCTTTTATAGCAAAAGGGATGTTATGCCGGGATAGAAGCAGGATCACTTGTCGCAGCAGACTAGGGGAAATAGTACAGCATTGTTATATGGGGGTTCGCATAGCATATTATTATCGCAGCAGCAAAAATAGACAGCCTAGGCCTTAGAGAAGAGATATGCCAGTGGCAACGTTGTTGTAGTTTTTTTTTTCACTTCTACACGGATTGTGTCTTATCTTAATCTGAATCTTCTAGCGATTAGTCCAGTTCATCACACGATCGAGTTGTCAAGGCTCCTCCTTGCTCTCACACGATTCCAACCATAGTAGAGGTGCCACCATTTGTTTGGATATTAGATTATTTATATAAAAAAAAAATTATTTGAGTGTATTTGAATAGAAATTTATTTGAAATATTATTGAGAATAATTATTGTAGCATTTTTTTGTGATATAATATATATTAGATAAAAATATAATTGGAAAGGCAAAAAAAAATGTGTTGAAAAATATATTTATGATGCAAGTAAGGTAAATAATTTTGGTGCAAATAATGCAAGCAAATTGTTAAAGTGTTTAAATGTTTTATGGGTTTAGTATATAATAAAAGAGATAATACATGTAAGTTGAGGAATTAATAGAAGAAAGTAAGAAATCATACTACAAGGAATATCATGAACCAACAAATCTATAAAGAAAAAGGGTTTTTGGCATTTTCAATGCCTACATATTTTTTTTGGGAGAAATCCTTTAAAACATCCTTTACATTCCATCAAATGAATTTTATCATCCAAAAGGCATAAAGCCTCTCGCTCTTTAAAAGTGCTTCAAAAATTATAAAATTTGTAAAAACACATGACGGTTAAGTCAAAGTAATTTGAGCATCAAAAAATAAAAGGAATTTCATCCACTCTTTTTTTTAAAGAGTGGCATTAATCCTATAATTAAATTTTTTTAATATTGTAAAGTTTTATGTCACTTACAAGTTACACAACTTGTTAAAGGTCAAATTCCACTTTAGTTAAAAGTATAAGGTGGCTCTATAGGAATTTTTAAAAAATAAAAGGTTTTATATCTTTCAGCTATACCACGAGGGGTTTCATATAGTTTTTAAAATGTTAACTTTACACTCCTTACAAATTCAAGTTAGCAAAATTTGGTCTCAATCTAAATTTTTGACCACTTTTAAGTGTAAAATTACCACATGACCTACATGAAATCATTTTTTATGTATAAAAGGTTAATCTTACTTTTTTAGTGATAAAAATAAAGATGAATAGGAAAAACTAAATATGATTCGGGGCGACCCTACTTTTTTTAATGCAAAAGTGAATAAAAATTGGGTTATTTGTTAACTACAAATAGGATCTTTAACTTTTTTGCTTTAAAAAAAAACTATGTATGGGTCATGTAATGAATTTAGAGTAAAAAATAGTTGACAATTTAGATTGACTTACTATTGTAAGGGTCGCAAATTTATCATTTTAAAAATGAAAGACAAAAAAATTCATTTGGCAATATGTGACGACGTTTTGAACAATTTTTCATTTTTTTTAAATATTCTTGTAACCTCCCAAATGCTGAGAAACCTTCATCCAAACTGCATTTGCAGATCACCCGGATAACGAATGATTTGGGTCTCTTAACTAATAATATTTATTTAATATAATCTAGCTAGCTTTTTTTTTTTGGTGCAATATCAAGCATGTGGCCTTTGGGAATAAGAAATTGAAGTTTCTTGAGTTTCGACCATACAAATCTCAATTTTACATATTCGTCAAGTGCATGTAAACAAATTGATTTTTTCTACGGCAAATGAATTGTCACGGTTGAATTTTATTTCTACAGTAATTCCTGTTGAAAATGACAAAACTATACATTTCCACATCCAAATTACATTCGACCTGGAAGAATATTTTTGGCATTTCATTCAATAATAACTGTGAAAATAAAATTCAAATTGTGACGTTAACACTATCCTTTCTTTTACGTATGTACCCATGTTGAATTGTTCGAGTCAGAGGAGTTGAAGCAACCTTAAGTTGTGTGTTTGGATTGAAGATTATTTTACTTTATTTGCACCTTATTTACACACACTGATTTGCTTGCATCATCAATACATTTTTCAACTATCTTTTTATCTCACATACATCATCTCAGAAAAAATGCTATAGTAAAAATATCTCAAATAATTTACCATCCAAACATAAGAAGAAGAAGCAACCTTGTTACCAGCGGGTATTGTCTGCTTGGCTAGCGGCCGTAGCCTTTGACAGATAGCTTATCTGCACCATGCACAAGAATGGCTGCAAGGCAAAGTGCGTGCAGGCACCAATGCATGCCATTGAGAGAGCTCGTACAAATTGATTCAATTAGAAGGAACGGATCATATTTTTGTAATAAGAACGGATCACTCATTCGTAAACGATTGTATGTTTGAATTCTGGTGTTGATATAAAAACTGCATTAATGAACGGTACGTAACAATTTATTTAAGCAATCTATGATTTCACGTACATGTTCTGTTTTGATCCACGGTCACGATAGAAGTAGAATACAGCCAAACATTTACTGAAAAAGGAAAAACCTTTCGTGATGGGATGGGTGAAAAAAAAAGCATGCCCTTAACTCTTCAGTGTGCTGTCATTTGATAGATCTTAATGTTGTCACTTTTTCGGGGAAACTGAACTTTGCTTCTTCTTGTTGTACTGATAAGCATTGCATGTTGTACCACTTTCATACAGTGGATAGGATCACAATTCAGAGCAAAGGTATCTCATTTTCGGATGGTTATATAGCACAGATACCAGTACAGAAACAGCCTTACAGGCTAGTAGAAGTCACATCAGGAGGTGGTTTGGTGGCAACAGCGAGAATGCAAAAGTCGAATAGAAGAAGTAGATGTTGGAGAGTAGGAAATTACAAGAGAAGAACAAATCGTTTGGGTACGTAATTACTCGTGTGATATTCTAGGTTTACTTTTGGGATTAGTTTATTAAAAATCAAATGGTTTTAATGAAATAGTATACCTTCATTAATAAGTAAGGTGGTGCAAAATGATAAATCATCCATCGATGTAAAGTTAAGTTAATTTATACGGCGTCTAAAAAACTTACTTTTTATTTAATAACTTGGACTCAACAATTTGTTTTTAAGTTGACAACCAACTCCAAGTGAAGGGATGGTATTGAAACATGCTTAAGCTTTCTCCATCCAACCACATTTTATTAGATTGGAGAAAATCAGCCGTATTTTTTCCTTTCTTTTTTAACAATCAATAATATATTCTTTATCGAACAGGTTGAGCTTCCAGGTTCCAACAGGTTTGCTGAGTTGTGAATTGTTTGTATTGATCATACCATCATGGATTAGTTGTAATCTTATTTCTTTTTTAAAAAACAAAGTACAGTAGATTGAACGCTAATCTAATGAAAGCTAGAAAAGAAGAGTATTTACTTAGGAACAAGAATCACCAGAGTTTATTCACACTCATATACAAATGACCTTTACCAACCAGGAATGCTTTTCAGGTGGCTTCTTACTCTCCGAAACACAAGAAAATCAATTTGTTGGCTTTCAACCTTTGCTAATATACTAATATAGGAAAGTACATCACAGACAAAATTGCAATAAGGCCAATGCAAGAAAAAATAAATTATCGTCGATCGTCTAAAGTTGTAGTACTCCTGGATGGAGTTGACATGGATTCATCCGTGAGCGATCGATCCATTGATGAAAACTCTTCCTCATCTTCGGAATCGGCCGTTACGACTATGTTCTCAACTTCTCTTGCAACCTCACTCATTTCAGGGCGATTTTCAGGGGAACTTGCACAACATCTCATTGCAATCTGCAGTAGTTTTAGCATCCCATGATTGGCACTTCTCTGAACTGCTATTTCAACATCAAAAATCTCAGCTGTCCATTCTTCTCTGACTGCGCGATGAACCCACCTGCAAAGATCAACTGCATTGGTCCCTGGTGGGGCTGAATCAGCTGAAACTCTCCCTGTTACCAGCTCCAGGAGTAAGCAGCCATAGCTCCAAACATCAGACTTTCTTGACACCTTTTTGTGACTTTGGTATTCGGGTGATTTGAATGCAATCATACGTTGAGCTGCCAGTGGAGCTGCTACAAGTGAAGTTAGCCCATAATCCGTTACAAGGACACCATCATTTTCATCAAGAAGTACATTGGATAGCTTCAAATTTCCATGTGGGACAACGTTTGTTGACTTGGTGTTGAGGTGTAGATATTCCAATGCTCGAGCTACACCACGAGCTACTGATAATCTTGAGCTCCACCGAAAAGGAATTCGAGTTGGTTTCCCCTTTCCCTCTGTAAGACACATCAGCAGAAGAGCTTAACGCATCCATCTTACTGATTTATACTCCAAAAACACTGCTAATAATGATAAATTGATTATACTTACCATTAAGTCGGTTGTACACGTTTCCGTTTGAAGCAAATTTGTATAGTAGTAGCTTTTCATCTTTGGAATAGTAATAGGCAAGAAGAGATAGCAAGTTTGGATGCTTTTGATCAGCAATCAGTCTTACTTGTTTCATGAATTCTTCACCGCTTAAAGGTTTCAAGTCCTTTAGTCGTTTTACGACAATTGGTCCCCTTTCCAGCATAGTCTTATAGCAGTTACCAAAGTTGCCTTTACCCAAACCTTCAGCAGATGCTTTTAGGAGATCGTCAAGTTCAAATTTCCTATCTTCATTTACGAACACAAGCTTCCCTTTCTCTACTTCATCAGCTGCTACCCTATTTCCCCCCGTTTCCATTTTAACCTTCTCATCCTTTTCTTCGTCCCCGACCAAAACGTGCTTTTCCTCCAGTTTTTTCTTGAGGTTTTTATACTTCTTAAAGAAAATAATGCAGAGGAATAAAAGAATGATCAAAGCAACAACATTAACAACTAATAAGATTGGAACAAGTTTAGACGACTTTGAACTTTTTGACTTGTTAGTATCGGACGTATCATTTTTGCTGTTGCAGTCTGAGGAAGATGGAGGGCCGCACAAGTTTGGATTACCAAAGTACGAAAACCGGTTGAA